GAACCCCAGCTCGGAGCTGCAGGTCTCGCTGATGCACAGTGCACGCATCGTGTCGGACCTGCTCCTGTCCTGCTACACCGGCGCCCTGGAATTCGCTGTCAGGGACATAGTCAACTACCTGACTGCCGCCTCCTACCTGCAGATGGAGCACGTGGTGGAGAAATGCCGGAACGCCCTCAGCCAGTTCATTGAGCCCAAGATAGGCCTCAAAGAGGATGGGGTCAGCGAGGCTAGCCTCGTGAGCAGTGTCAGCGCCACCACCACCAAGTCCCTTCTCCCTCCAGCCAGGACCCCAAAGCCAGCCCCTAAGCCCCCACCCCCACCTCCTCTCCCCCCTCCGCTCCTGCGGCCTGTGAAGCTGGAATTCCCACTGGACGAAGACCTAGAGCTCAAGGCCGAGGAGGAGGATGAGGACGAGGACGAGGATGTGTCTGACATCTGCATCGTCAAGGTGGAGTCGGCCCTGGAGGTGGCGCACCGGCTCAAGCCCCCTGGAGGCCTGGGAGGGGGCCTGGGTATTGGAGGTTCAGTGAGCGGCCACCTTGGGGAGCTCGCCCAGAGCAGCGTGCCCTCCAGCACTGTGGCCCCACCGCAAGGTGTGGTGAAGGCCTGCTACAGCCTGTCCGAGGATGCCGAGGGGGAAGGCCTGCTGTTGATCCCCGGAGGCCGGGCCAGTGTGGGGGCCACCTCGGGCCTAGTGGAAGCAGCCGCGGTGGCCATGGCTGCCCGCGGGCCGGGGGGCAGCCTGGGGGCGGGAGGCAGCCGGGGTCCCTTGCCCGGGGGCTTCTCGAGTGGAAACCCCTTAAAGAACATCAAGTGCACCAAGTGCCCGGAAGTGTTCCAGGGCGTGGAGAAGCTGGTCTTCCACATGCGGGCGCAGCACTTCATCTTCATGTGCCCACGCTGCGGCAAGCAGTTTAACCACAGCAGCAACCTCAACCGCCACATGAACGTGCACCGCGGCGTCAAGTCGCACTCGTGCGGCATCTGCGGCAAGTGCTTCACGCAGAAGTCCACACTGCACGACCACCTCAACCTGCACTCCGGGGCGCGGCCCTACCGCTGCTCCTACTGCGACGTGCGCTTTGCGCACAAGCCGGCCATCCGGCGGCACCTCAAGGAGCAGCACGGCAAGACCACAGCCGAGAACGTGCTGGAGGCCAGCGTGGCCGAGATCAATGTCCTCATCCGCTAGCGGGGCAGGTGTCGAGCCAGAAGGCTGGGGTCCCTGGGCTGCCGGGAGGAAGGTTCTTTGGCCCAGGAGAATTTGGGGGTGGGGGTTCTGGGGCGTAAAGGTACAGTGGGGTGCCTTAGCAGACCGAACATCCTGAGGGCGGGAGGGAGATTAGATTCCTTGAAGGGAAGACCCTGTCTCCAGAGCGGAGGGAAACGATCGAGCTGGGGTCAGGGTTCTCTGAGAAGGCTACGGGGTCCCAGAGAAAGATTTTCTTCTCTTAAAAGTGCATGGATACGTGGAGGGGGGGAAGGGTCCCACAGGATGAGGGGAAACAAAGACTGGAAAGTTTGGTTCCTGATTCATGCTTAGAATAGATTCTTAGGGAATGGTAAGGGGAAAGGATTACTGACTCTCAAAAGGAATGGGGACGGTTCTTGCATGCGGGGAAATAGGATGTGGGCACAAGGTTGGCAGGGATCCGAGGGAGGGCAAAGTGAGGCGCCAGGTAAGAGAACATGGGGGTGAGCATTGTGGGTAGATAACGGGAAGTGGGGGTACAATAGCAAGAAGTGGATAGTGCTGGGGTGGGGGTGGGGCACTTAGAAGAGGACACCAGAAGGGCTGTTGGGGGGGAGGGGAGAGGAGTAGAGACTTATACAGTATTTTTTAAGAAAACCGTATTTTTTAGGATTTTTTCTGGAGTTTGGGGTTTTAGTTTTTCTGCTTCTGTTTTCCACAAAATAAAAAAAAAAAAGCGTTTTCGTTATATCCTGGCAACTGCGTATATATGATCAATCCCACCCTAGACACTGATGCTGTGTGCTCAGTATCCCGAGGTGACCACTCACTGCAGGCACCAGGCCTGGAGGAGCCGAGCCCTAAGCCGAGGAAGGTGTACCCCTTCTCCCAGGCCGTCCCGGTGATAAGCATGAACTCTGCGAGCGGGAACTGGCATCACTCCCCCAGTGGACGGGAGTCTGGGCATACTTTTCCCCAGGGAACAGCTCATGGCTGGGAAAACTAAAAACTGCAAGTTAAGTTTGGCTCAGATGGCTGGGAAGACTACAATTCCCAGAAAGCTCTGGAATAGTTAACCAAAGAGAACTACAGTTCCCAGAAGGCCTTAAATTGGCCTCAGGCGCCCCCATATCCAACCACCTGCCTGTGTGAAATCATACATTTTCCAAAGGTTTACCTAAGAGGATGGCACCTTAAATACTGCCAACAAGGTGGCCTCTTACGGTGCATATCACTCCTACTGAACTGTCAGCCGAGTTACCATCCACGGAGTGCCTGAATGAAGTGTTCCACCAAAAACAAAAAACGAGAACAAAAAGATGGTTACTTACTGCAGTGTACCCGACAGTCAGGATCCCTAGCGCATGGGGTGGCGTAGCACGCCGGTATAGACAGAGGAGACGTTTAGTCTCAGGTTTTCCAAAGGAGACGCTGCCCCAGGTGACATGAAGCAGCGTGCTAGAACCGGCCATGACTAAAGTGGCCCCCGTGCGTCCCTATCGCCCCTTCTCACTCGTTAGAGAAGCGAGGAAAAGCTAAGGCCGAGCCTTCTATCTGGTGACCCAGAAACTAGAAAGACAGAAAAGAAACCAGAGGCAGGAGAAGGACAAGCGGGCCAGACGGAATCACAGCTGGTGCCGAGAACCCCGAGAGCTCGGCTGGTTCCTAACGATCAGATGGGGATG